AAAGTTTTTAGTTTTGATACTCCCAAAATCATTCCGCAGAATTTTTTTTAAACAAAATTCCGTACAGAAATAGCAAAAACTTTTTTTTTCAGATTCCATCTGGCCCTACTCATCACTAATTCATGATAAAGTAATGTTTAGTTTACATTTTAATAAATCATTTTTCATGTACTGTTATTGTAAAGTGTTACCAACGACTGTCTGTAAGTGTTGTTTGCTCAGTTATGTAATTTTAAATGCAAAGATTAAATTGTTTGTGAGACCACTTAAAAACATATACATCACAACTTGTTTTTGTCATTACAACTTGACATTACTAAGACAACACAACTTTTCATAAACCTGTCATAAACATGAATGTCATTAAGCCATTATTGGCTGAATTTGTGAATAAATGATATTAAAGTTTAACAAGTCTGTTATAGAGTGATGACATTTTAATGATAAATTCAGTTTGTTCCACTAGACATTTATCAGAAAAATATTCATGATACAATTATGCCCTTATTATAATCATGTTAATGACAGATTTATGACAAGTTATGTCTTCTTGGTAATGTCAATTTGTCACAACAAAGATAAAAAAAATTGGTTGTGATGTATTAGTTTGTCAAGTTGTCATAACAAACATTCATTCATTTTCTTTTCGACTTAGTCCCTTAATTAATCTTGGGTCTCCATATAATAAACAATGTCATCTTCTGCCATATTTGCATTTAAAAAAATGACATAACTGATCAAACGACACCTAATAACAGTCGTCATATGCTTAAAATGTATTGAATTTATTTGTCATGTCATGATTATAAAAGTTTTATAAAAAAAGCAAAATGTTATCATTTTTCTAATAAATCCACAGGCTGGAGTCAATTTTCCAACATATTCTACTATCTTAAACCAGATCTTAAAACATTGTTCAGATCAGATGTTGATGGTTTAGATATTATTCAGATTTCAAGACATTTGAGTTAATTGTTTTCAAAAAAATCTATTGTAATATTTGTTTGAGGCATCTCAATTGTAGGCTGAGAAATAGCTGAAATCATTTTGCAATGTGATATGAAATTATAATGAGGTCCACCTGTGTGAAAAAACAAAAAATGCTGTGTGTTTCTCTGAAAAAAACTTATAAATTTAATAAAACACAGGTCCGGAGGCTATCAAAGTATCTAAAATGACGTACTTTAGGAGTAGGAATTTCCTATGAACATGAATGGAGTTCAGATGTACAACATTCACCATGTTTTCACACTGTGTCAGTTGCATCACTTCACTTCTGTGTCCATTGGATGCACTCTTTAAAATCTCAGTGGAACTAGTAAATTTTCTGCTCTAAGTTTTTTGAATACTACTTTATGTATAGGTTTCCCAGAGATGGTTTGCAGCTGGAAGGGCATCCGCTGCGTAAAACATGTGCTGGATAAGTTGGCGGTTCATTCTGCTGTGGCAACCCTGGATTAATAAAGGCACTAAGCCGACAAGAAAATGAATGAATGAATGTATGTATAGGCCATTCTACTTGGCTCACGTTTGGTTTTCCATATTTTGAGAAATATGCAGTTTTGGATCCACTATTATTCCACTTATTCTCTGCTCAACACAACTAAAGTCATTGTTTACATATTTTATTTCAAGACTAAATAAAAACTGAATCCTTTAGCTGTACATTTATAAGTGCTTCAAACAAGCACTTACTCAAGTGCCTACTGCCTCACAACAGAGAATTGTCATTTGTTTTTTTTTAGCTGCAAATACAAAAACAAAAAATAATAATCATCCTAACAACAGGAGAAAAGAGTGTTTCATGGAAAAATATGGAATTAAACTTTTATTTAAAATATTTATGTGCTTAGTGTTTTGTAAGTTTTGTTTATTTTGCTGATGTGGGCTGACTTTTGATATGTATTGTGGTCAAAAATAGCCAGTAGCATAAAATAACTTAAATCTGTTCATCAGCCAATCAAAATTAGGTGCTAAACACCTATGTTGTATACATTACTACGAATGCACAGTGCTTATTTGTGTGAAGAAAGCAAAATATCATCGTTTCGTTTTGTAACAGAGGTTTAATGACCCTGGATCAGGAGATTCAACTGTTCCGGATGAATGGCTCAAATCTCGTTTGCTGTGATGCTTCTAATGGGAGAAGCCTGTAATGCAGCACAGATGCCAGTTCCTGACTGAAAGAGCCTTTTTCCAGATAGACTTGTTAGTTTTCTTCTAACACACGATTTGAATTACTGCATCACCTTCATTACTCTGAGGACAATACCATGATTGTGGAATAATGTTTTGCTGCTTTTTTGTAATTTGGTTCAATCCGGTTTTAACCCCTCCATCATTCTGAGTTACAAACGTATTGCAAAAACAAACAAAGCTTTATCAGCAATGATAACTGAGTTAGAAAGCATTTCTATCCCAAAAACAGAGATTTTACTTGTGCGTTGTTTTTGTTGCATTGGTAAATATAATATTCAAATACTTAATGTGTTATATGTGTGTATTTTCATCCTCTCTAACAGAAACTCCATGTTTTTTGTATTATTTGAGAGTAATCCAATGGTTTCATCTGATTAAATAAACCAAATGACTATCTGTACAGTCACATGATCAGTATCACATATTTAATCATTTGATTTGTAACCAATAAATTAAATCTGCAAAGTTGAACAAAACTTATTTTAGTTTATTGATAGGTTTTAATACTTCTCAGCTTTTTATTTTATTTTGTTTTACCCTGCTGAATATATTCACTACATATATACTTTTTATGTAGCAGCATGCATTTGGATGATAATCTTCACAAAAACTTTGTATTTTCCCTTCCACACACAGAAAAACTGCTCATCGGTAAGTTATACAACTTCTGGTTAATGATTGTTTATGTCAAGAGTAAACTATTGCTTTATTTCGAGCTGAACTTCCCTTGCCTCTGACAGCAAGTGTTTGTCAGCTATCTCAACAGCACTCGGGCTGTCATTGGAAATAAACTCTTCATTCATTTAAATCAATTTGTGCTCAATAGCTGTCTGTTCACAACACTTTGTTTCGAAATATTTATTAGTATAATTTTCAATACAGCTATTTTTTGATTCTGGACAACTTTAGTTTGTCCTGCAGTTAAATCTTAGTGACTTTATAATTCAATCTGTTTATTTAAATTAAATTATTCTATTTTATTTATTAATTTTCCTTTGGCTTAGTCCCTTTATTCATCAGTGGTCGCAACAGTAATGAACAGCCGATTTTACAGCATACACAGCGGATGCCCTTCCAGCTGCAACCCAGTACTGGGAAACATCCATACAGACTCATTCACACACATGCATTATGGACAATTTAGTTTATTTAAGCTTCACCTATAGCACATGTCTGAGTACTGTGGGGGAAACCAGAGCACCCAGAGGAAACCCACGCGAACATCGGGAAAACATGAAAATTCTACACATACTGTAAATGCTAACTGAGCCAGCCGGGACTCGAACCAGCGACCTTCTTACTGTGAGACACCACGGCTAACCACTGAGCCAGCGTGTCGCTATATATATATATATATAATACCATTATTGAAAGAGTACAGAAAAAAAGTAAAAGATCTTGCTAAAATAAATGTAGTGCAAAACAAAGTTAAATATTTCATCTAAATACTAAAAAGTATGTCTAAAATGTAGCTCTTCTAAAAGTACCCAGTAGTGAGAGGTGAATACAACACCGCAAAAAAAAAAAATTCTCATTATACCCTGCAAATTAAAAAATGTAACTTACACCAGTTCCGTTTTCTTTTGTTAATGCTTATCATGCAGTATAAACCCTGATTTACCAGCTTTACGAGTATCTAGCAATTGGCGCCACAAACCAATCTCATGCAGCATTGATATTAGACATACAATTTGTGAATGTCTTTGAAAACATAACATTCTGTAGTGAATGTAGTTGTTGTTTAAGGCCATTTGGTGTCATGTCATCGAACAATAGGTAAAGTTTTACAAACTAAGTTCAAGACGAGCATGTGATATGATTGATCATGGCTGATCTTCCATCCGTAATCAGCAATAATCCAATCAGATTGATTCAAGCTTACAATAAATAGACAGATTTCACACTACCACCTTATCTCTGTAATATCTAAGTGTAAACTCTTAAAAGTTTCATTGTCATCAGTGACATGCAGTCTGTATAACGATTCTGCTTTTAATTATTCACTTTAAATGCTTCCACACAAAAGATAAAGTGTCCTTGAGCATCTTGAGGTAAATCTATCTGATGCAGGATTTGATTGGATGGGAATTATAGCACGAGTGACAAGTTTCTCATTCCACTGCATTCTAAAGTTTAAGCTTGGTGAATTGTTATCTGCAAAATCACATCAGGTGATTGCGTGAGACCAATAGATCATTTAAAATTTTAAATATGGAGCGATCTTTTATTAATGTCGAATCATATTGTTTAACTCCGCCCCTTTTCGTAGCACTATACGACAGAATTTTGCAAGCACAAACTCTAGTTTGAACGCAGCTGAAGTTGCTTTGGACAACAATGCCTGCTAGATGACTAAATGTTAATGTAATTTCATTGACTTTTCCAAAACCTTGTGGGTTTTCTGTTTTTCCAAAACTTTTCCAGGCCTGGAAAATGCCATGTCAAAATTTCCATGACTTTTCCAGGTTTTCCATGACATTATAAACCCTGGAGATAAGTCTGTAAAATAACAAAAAATGTACTGAGAGTTTATTACAAAGTTTTTGTATCGTAAAGAACAAGACCACTCCAGACAATATATCACTTTAAACTATTAAAAATTTTGTAAAAGTCACTTTTTAAAAACTTTAAAAACCTGTAGAAAGATCCAGGTCCCATAATGCAATTCAAAAGCATAAATAAATGGGGAGAATTATAAATTAGTGATATTATTTACAGTGTAGTATACATACTTTTTCCCTTTTTGAGTGAACTTTTCATTAAAGTAAAGAAGTAGACATAAAACATAAACTGAAGTTCTCTCCTCGTAGAAACATTAGGTTTTATTTCTAAAAGGAACACAAGAGTAAAGTACAGCATTCTTTCGTACAAACATCTTTCTTTGCAGTAGAAAAAAATACGTAGGCATACACTGTCTCGCGTAGGCCTCTGTTTACATTCAACCTGCATAATCCCTCTCCGCAGTTACAGCAGCTCACAGTTCACCACAGTCCACAATCTCCATCGTGCAAGGCATCAACCTGTGTTTCTATTGCAGCAAAAAGGGGACAAAACAGTCATGAAAACACAAGAACCTCATTCAAGATGGTCGTCGTCTTTAGCCATTCTTCCTCACATTCTAGGGCCTCCTTCAAGTTTCGTCCAACGTTCCTCATCTTCTATCTCCAAATAACACTGGAGAGTTTTCACACACCATGGGTCATAAATCACAATGCAGCACACACAAGAGCATAGCAGCAAAAATGTCGTAGGAAAGAAGTGTAAAATACATCGAAACTGCAGTTTTAAAAAAGTAGAACAAACATAGGAAAACGCAACAGCAGGGATTTAGCACTTAACGGGCATCATAATCTCATGGACTCCCTCATGATTAGTGCATTCATTAGAAAGTGACTAATAAACTGGTGCTATCAAATGAGACACATAAACTTCAATATGAAGCAATCTCATATTGTTCCAGATTATTCCACTTCCATAATCTGAGCATTACATACAGTATGCTGTGCTGATTCATCTTCTGTTAAAGGGACGGTTCACCCATAATTAAAAATGTAATTATTATTTACTAGCTTTCATGTTGTTTTAAACATCTACAGCTTATTGTTCTTCTGCGTAGCACAAAAGCAATTATATGAGTACTGCTTTATTCCTACTATGAACGTCAGCAGGGCAGGTTTGGAATGAAGTTTACTGCAAATGACAGAACATTCATTTTTGGGTGAACTATAGCTTTAAGGATGATTTAAATGATTACGTATTAACATCCAGTCACATTTCAGAAGCAATCGTTTTAACAGCAAAGTCGTTACCCTTCAGGGTAACAAAGTAGTTTTGAGGAAGAATCTAGTTGTTCACTTTATACAAAGACAGCTATCCAAAAAACTATGCCATTGTAATACAGTTAATTACAGAATAGCACAAAGGAAGGCAACTATGTTATGCAAATTATTGGTTTACCCCATGTCAGCTCTACAAAACAGCATATGTAGTGTGCTACAAAATTTTTTTAAAAATTCCGAAAAACTGCCATAAGATTAACATGGTTAGTCCCAGATTTGCATAATTTAAGAGCCCAAACATTTTACTTTAAGCGAAATGTTTATCTTAAAAACATACACCGACACTGAATTGATGTCCAAACAGACGTTCTTTTCAGTACTTCATTGATCATTTTGACTATTCTGGCTTTTTCAGAAATCTATTCTGAAAGGAACCAATACTCTCCTTGCATTTGTCCCTGTTACAACGACCAGTTCGTAAGTATGTGTTTAACTGTCACCAATAGGGGGTGTTGTTCTCTATATGACCCCAGCTTTGCCACTCGGGGAAGAATCCACTAGATGTTCTCGGGCTCCCAAACTGGTCAAATTCCATATCTGGCCGTTTCCCTTGAGCCTTGAAATCTGTTGTGGCGTTTTGTATGACGCTTGCCTGACTTGAGTCGTTTTCCGTATGTACCAACTTGTAATTTTTCCCATCGTTATTGTCCCAGTATGTCATATCGTGAGTTTTGTAGGATATGCAGAACTCCACCTGCTCATGTGGAGCCACAAAACTTGGAAGGTCGATGGAAAAGGAGAAGGTGTCAACGTCCTCACAACCGTAAACATTATTCATGTACGTACAAGGAATGTCAGTGTGGCTTTTCCATGAATCAAAAGTTATTCGCACATGGACAACCTTCTCGAAGCTTACGTTACTCACTTTAACTGTGCCAGTGACCGATCTCTCCTGAATTATACAATTTTCCAAGCATACCAGGTTCTTCTTTAGACGGTTCCGGAAGTCCAAATAGTCGGCGGCAGGTTGAGGGAAGCCTAAACTGAAATTCTTCTCCTTCTCTGCTTTCAGGCCAACAATGGCATCCTCCAGATCTGATAATTCAAACTGCAGGTCTAACATGAGGTCTTCCTCGAATTCCTTGAACACATGCACTGCCGTCAGAGACATGCCTTTGGAGTCGGCAAAAACCACTTTCTTTTTAGCTTTGGTCTCGGGACTCTTCCATGTTATGTTGGCTGTGTCGTCATCTGTCTTGGAGCTGATGCAGGATCGCAGAGGTTTGTATTGGTTGACAAGGTTCCTGGATTTGCAGTCCTCATATGAACTGAGGAAACTGCGAAGAGGCGGCGAATGGGCCAGGCAGATTCTCATTGCCACATCCACAGGCATAATTGGACTTGGCATTGGCCTGGGGTTCAGTATCTGCAGAACCCTGTGATGAAGACAATAGAGAAAAAACACTAGAGTGACCAATTAGGAAGGAGATTTGACAGTCACATAGTTAAAGTCTTGGCCCAGAATGTAGAGATTAACAAACAAACCACTACAGTTTCAGCTAGCTTTACAGTTACTAGTTTTACAGTACATTTAGAACCATATCTGCTGATTTTATCTTAAACAGATCAAGTTTCCTATGAATGGCCAAATAGTTGATTTTTCAATCACTGCTAGTAAAAATAGTATTTTTTAAATGTTACTTTGTACATTAGGCAACATATCAAGTCAGTCCAAGAGTACAGTAGGTCTATAGCAATTCCATATTCTAATTTAATTAGTCAAAATAACTAGTCCTACTTAGTTATACATAGGGCCAGACAGAATCTGCGAACATTTTTTACTATTTTTGCGGAGAGTTTTGTAACAAATCTGCAGATTAATGTGGAATATTTTTTGGAATATCATAATTAAAAATGTAATATATGAAATAAAAAATACCTTTTTAATTTTTATTTAATGTTTGCAATGCAAATCCAATTGTATGCACTTATTTGGTAAACAAACCAAGCTTCTTATATAATATATCTACTAAAAGACAAAAAAAAAATACTTTACAAACTGTATTGTAAATAAATTATATTGACATTTTCATATGTCAATAATATTACTGAAATTATATAAAAAACTGAATAAATATAAATTGACACACATCTACACAAGTAAATAAACAGCCTCAATGATGGGCAAAAAAATCTGCGGAAATCTGCAGATTTCTGCATGCGCAGATTCTGTGTGGGCCTAGTTATGTCATGTAGTATTTGTAAAATATTATTGACACTAGAAACTACGCAGTACTACGAGAAACGAAGAGTTACTACAAACAATTTAACAGATATATGAATAAAACTGATATCAGAACCACAGACAATAAAATATGCTGCAGCAAAAATAATGGAATATGTACCATGTGTACTTGGATAATACAGTAAACAGCACACTGTAAAAAATTCTGGTTGACTTAGATTTTTAAACTGAATAAAATTTTTCTTATGAGTCCATGAACTTACATCATGTTGAAGTGACCTAAAACAGCTTGCGTAACTTATGAAATTAAGTTAGAACATGATTAACTTAGTTTAATAAGTAATAATGGTCTAAAAGCATATGCTGTCAGGACTGATCATATAGTTTTTTACAATGCAGAATCGATAATAAAAGTAATACAATTTGAAGCAATTTTTGTGAAAAAGTAAATGGCAGCCTCTCTGCACGAACAAAAAGCCAAAAGTAACTGATAAACACACTAATACTGATATAATAACGTTAGTTACAAGAGTAACTAAAATAAATAAGTCAAGAAACCATGTCACAGCACCAAGCAATTAAATATAAGTAGAAACACACACTAATTAGTTAAAACAACCATAAAACAGCTTGACATCGTTAATGTTCGATTATTTAAACGAGCATTATTTTAAACCGAATCTAAATGATCAATACTATTAAGAGAAACTCATTCTTTAGACTTTTCCAGCATGATTAAGTTCATCGCTGAATTGTGACGCACTCTGTATTCTTACCTGGTGCAATTCATTGAAACCGGTGGTTGGTTTCCAAAACGTCTCAAACGGTTTGCTCTGCGATAGTTTGATTAAGCACTGATTTCTCCTACGTGCCCTTAAACTTCATTTAAAAACGTTTCGAGCAGCACCATAACTAAAACCCCGCTGAAGAACAGTGGTTTGCTGCGGCACGCCCCCTTCACGGTCCAGCCGTACTGCAAAAGTCAAGAGCGTTCAGCCGGTACATCAAGCCTCTGCGCGCATTGGCTCACGGTAACCCACCCTGACAGCCAATGGGAGAGCGCGAGTGCGAGGCGCTTGAGCAATCAGCGCTCAGGAAAGAATCAGTCGTCTCGCGCGTGCAAAGGGAGATCAGCCCAGCAGAAAGAGAGGGGAAAAGAGAGAGAGAGAGTATGGGGGCGGGAGGAGAGCTCATCCAAATTTAGACAGCCTGTGAAAGTCCTGCGAAGCGGTGACGCGCGATCTGTGGATTACAGTAATTTCCGTTTTGCATTTCCTTTTTTGTTATTATTTTTGATGGGCTTATACGTGTGTGTCACTGTATTGCACTACTAATAAAATAACGTTTGAGACTCTATGGTCTTTACACTTTTAAATAAGTTATTTTTTTTCCATTTTGTGTCAGTCTATGAAACAAATACAACAAACAACAAAACAAACAACCAAAGCTGCTGATTAAGTTGTGGCTTAAAAATGGCAAAAAGGGTGGCTAAAATGGCTCATGGAGATGCAGTAAATGGAGAGAAATCCTCATGAGCAAGAGGAATGTGCAACACACTGAGTAACTGGAAATTTAGGAATTTTCTGTGATAATATTTTTTTAAACAATATTTCAATATAACGCTTTCAAGCCATGGTGCAGTCACATGAATAGCAGAATAAATAAACTTTATTAAATGTGAGACATTTAAATTCTCCTGTAAAGCAGTTCTCAGCGTGCATCATAAAGACTGCAGTACAATACAGATACTATTGCTAAAAAGAGAAAAGTGTCATCATTAAGCTCAAGTTAGTTTAGTTTTGAGTCAAATCGTGGAAAACTGCAGATGTTGCAAAATGTGAAACCTATATGGTTTAACTATAAACCAGATGTGTAATCAGAATATCAATAGTCTAATAGGCCTACTTTTATCCTGTTTTTTAAAACCTCAGTTAAGCAAGTCAAATGTAATTGTGTGTGAGGAACCCAGACTCCATCGTGACAGAAGTTGTGAAAAATATTTAACCAAATTTGTGCAATTTATTCATTCATTCATTTATCCATTTATTCATTCATTTTCCTTAGTCTTTTTATTAATCTAGGGTTGCCACAGCAGAATGAGCCGCCAACTTATCCAGCGTATGTTTTACGCAGTGGATGCCCTTCCAGCTGCAACCCATCACTGGGAAACATGCTTACACTCCCATTCACACACATACACCGTGGAAAATTTCGCTTACCAATTCACCTTTACAACATATTTTTGAGCTTGTGGGGGAAACCAGAGCACACCAGAGAAAACCCATGCGAACAGGGGGAGAACATGCAAACTCCACACAGAAATGCCAACTGGTCCAGGCTGGAACCAGCAACCTTCTTGCTGTAAGGCGACTGTGCTACCCACTGCGCCATCATGCTGCCCAACAAATTTGTGCAATGTTTAAATTTATTTTTTTAAGAATAATCAGAATTATAATTACATAATCATCAATAATCTTACATGGATAAAAAAGTGAAATCAGGTTATGCAATAGAGTATTTATATAAAATTTCAGTCTGTCATCTGTGAGTGTTAAACATTCATGAAGCTGTCATGCTCTATTGCTGTTACAGTAGAGGGTCAATATGCTGTATGTTGCAACGACAGCAGTCTATTGAGTAATGTGACCTACATTAGCAAGAGCTCCATATCGCAACATTTTACAGTGTGTAATGCATTTATTACTTGTGATAAGAATGGATGAAAAACAGAGTACATATTTCACATCATATTTTAGATACTACATTGATATATTTAAAATATTGGGTGACTTCTTACTATCATGAAATACACACACAAGCACACACACAACAAATATTGCTGATGTAATGTTCCATAATTAGTTAGCATTATTGATACATACATAAATTTTTAGAATGGCAGATGTTGACATTTTTTTTAAAAATTTGAATATATTTTAAAAATCTATTTTGTCCCTTTTTGTGATGATTTCAAAGAAGATTTTTCCTAAATATTCCCCCAAACACATGATCTTTCAGAAATTATTCAGATTTTCTGATTCGCTGTTCCCAAACATTTTATTTTATTTTTATTTGTTAAATACAGTTAGTAGATTTATTCAGCTTTCTTCCATGAATAGAAAGGTCAGAAGAAATGTATTTATCTGATATATAAATCCTTCCGCAATATACTGTAGTTTCTTGGTCATCGTTCATTATGAATTTTAAGCATCCTAGCTAAAAAAAATTGATCATTTCTATAATATCTTTACCAATAGTGGTTATAAAATGAAATAGTGTTATATTATGTTGAAAAAGCTTTTTTTTTTATTTCAGATAAATTCTTAAAAAATGCTACTGTCATTAAATATTGTTAAAAATACTAACAAAGACCACAACAAGTGTTTCCTGAAGATTTTAAATTACATTTTAGAACATATTCAAATAGAAATTTTACAGTTTTTTGCTGTACTTTGGATCAAATATACACTGTGATTAAGTTAAATTTAAAAACATTAAAAAGGACACATTTACTCAAAGTACTAAAAGTTGTAACAATGTAATGTTTGACCTTTTTTTTCAATCTCAAAATAAATCTCAACGTAAGTTATACTAATTTAAACACTCTAAAATAGGCCTATTACAGCGTTCACACAACGAAAATAGCTTTAAATATTCCCATTAAATAATATTGTCTCTACAAAATACAACATATTTTACCTTTAATCAGGTCCTCGGCTTCTTTTGAGACATCCAAGTCTAATCTGAACACTAGCCTCTATCTCAAGAGTGGAAACTTCAAGCATTGGTCCATTAAACAGGAAGCGCACAAACAAAGTGCTGAAAAAACAACACACTGATCAAATCACAATCTGTTTACTCTGTTAATGATGATGGTCTTTGATGATGATGACAATGAGAGCTCATTTACCTCTATAATTTAGAATTAAGGAGAGCGTTTGAGTTTCTTTTATCCAGATATTTAGCAACATTCAAAATATTAGTGCACTTATTGGAAGTGTCCAATTTAACTTAGCCAGTAGGCTACGTTGTTGACCACAGTTAGACCATTCGTTTGACTTATGTAAAACTATATGCATGAAAGTCAATCAGATGCTAAAATTAGTGAGTTATGGATGAATTCCTGAAGTAAGAACAATGCGGGGTGTGTTTGCTTGATATCAGTCATGCAAACATAAGGGGAAGTGAGTCCGAAACAAGATAGAACTTAAGTATTTCTTAAAATAATAATAATAAAAAAGACGGGACTGCGCACACTATGACCACATACTAGTTTTAGCTACTTCCTCTGACCTGTATAGGCTACTCTCGATTTGACCAGCTGAAATGTGGGCATTTTCGCATGTGGCAATATTTACAGAGCTATTGCAATAGTATTTAGAGGACGAGAACAAACCAAAGAAATCAAGATTTTTGTTGCACACTAAAATCTAATTATATGCACTTATAAATAATTCATATACGATCTTGTCTAACAATATAGAAAAATAAATAGTTAAAAGGCTCAATTTTGCTTCATTACTCTGTCTGTTTTGTTTGTTTTCTTTAGTTTGGAGAGAGGTTTAAATCTAGAACTTGCCTGTTACTACCATCTGCTGCTGGACTGCTGTGTTAACAGTCACTGCAAATACAGAGCTATGGAACTTGTTATTCAAGATTCGTTAGTAGAAATAGTTAAACGTATGCCTACTAATACTGTATATGAGTCAAATATAAGATGTCTTGCTTTGGCATTCATATTAAATACATTTTACACTAAAACATTTTTACGTGATTTTTGCTGCTTGTTCAAACTATTTAAAACGAGCTGAATTAATACAAATCTTGAGTTTTGGTTGGGACAACATGAAGACAATTTGTGAAACCCAGCTTTTTATATGATGTACAAAAGCGAATTTACAAATCAGATTAATTGCTACATTATCAGATAAAAAGCTACAAGTTGGTGAGGAAAAGTTTTGAACCTTTTGTAGAACTTCTTATTTTATCACAATATCTATAAAAAAATATGACTGGAAAGGCATTTCCATATTAAAACAAATACATTTTAAAATGTATGTTTAAAGAAACTAATAGACATTAATTATTAAGTTCTATAAAACAAAACTACTGCTGAAACATAAAACTAGGTATTGTAAACTAAACATTTAAGGCATTTTAATTAAAGGTTTGTTAAGCATTTTTGACACTGTTAAGGTACAAAGTATCTTCACTGTGGTGGCACAGTACCTTTATAGTTCAGATTTGTACCTTTGATGAAGATACAATATTGTATCTGCAGGTTTTAAAAAACAAAGGTACATTTTGGTTTCCCATAGTACAAATCATGTCCTTAAGGGTACAAACTGCAATGATACAAATTTGTTTCTTTGTCTTAAGGTATAATTCTGTTCCATAAAAAGGTACGGCCCCAATGACAAGGGTTTATACCTTCTTTTGTAAAACATTGTACCATTTTTTCTGAGAGTATAGTAAAGTGTCTATTTTTTTAATGTTAAATTAAAACAAAAATAAAAATTACAATAAAATGAACTGTGGAATTCAGATGCCCCTAAAGTTAAATTTTCTTCTAAAATAATTCCCCCCCCCCTCAGCCTCGTGTGTAAGTTCAGTCATTTCAGTTTTATGGCAAACAATTTTCAAAGAAGGTTGATTTTATTGCTTTTAAAGTAAAATAACTGAACAGGCTCAATTTTGAAAAAGTTTAGATAACTCTTACAACTCTTCAAATATACATTCTTTGTCATTTAATGAGACATATTTAAATTCAAATGAAATCACAAATCTTTTTGATCCGTAACCACAAAAAATATGAAAGAACAAGTGATCATTGTAAATTTTTATATATTGTTAATGAGTAAAACCTGCACAATAGTTAAAATAGACAAACCTACACTCTCAGAAATAAAGCAAGCTGTCACTAAGGTGGTACCTTTTCAAAAGGTATGCATTACTTATAAGGTCCATATAGGTACCTCAAAAGTATATATTAGTACCTAAACATTTTAAAAGGAACATATTTGTACTTTTTAGGTACTAAGATGTAGCCTTGAGGTATTAATATGGACCTAGTTGGTACAACTTTGAGGTTGTAAAAGGTACCACCCCAGTGCAGCTTGTGTATGTTTATTTCTGCGAGTGTGTGTGTGTGTGTGTGTGTGTGTGTGTGTGTATATATATATATATATATATATATATATATATATATATATATATATATATATATATATATATATATATATATATACACACACACACACACACAGTTAAAGTCAGATCATTTGATTTTATTATTTGATTATATTTTCCGATAATCTACAAAACAAACCATCGATATGCAATAACTGGCATAGTTACCCTAACCTGCCTAGTTAACCTAATTAACCTAGTTAAGCCTTTAAATGTCACATTAAGCTGTATAGAAGTGTCTTGAAAAATACCAAGTAAAATATTATTTACTCTCATCATGGCAAAGAGAAAATAAATCAGTTATTAGAAATAAATTTTTAAAACTATTATGATTAGAAATGTGCTGAAACAATCTTCCCTCCATTAAACAAAAATTGGCGAAAAAAATAAACATGGGCGCTAATAATTCAGGGGGGCTAATAATTCTGACTTCTACTGTATATGTAATGTATACATGCATACATAATAAAAAAGGTTCTGCAATAGGATTCTTAAAAAAACGTTGAAATCAAATAGTTCTTGTACTTAATATGTCTGGCATATTTTTAAAAATACCATAAAATGGTATTTTAGTTTGTCCCTTCTGTAAAATGAGATAGAATGAGTTATTTAATAATACAATACAAATAAACAGAAATACATTTTAATTTATAATAAAGAGGTTTCATAATATATTTGAATTATGAATAAAATATTTAGCATTATGAATAAAATAGGGTGTCAAAGTGGCGCATCTAGTTTGACTAGTTTGAGCTTCAGTTTCCCCCGCAAGTCCAAAGACACAAAGAATATAGTATTTTTTATGCATGTGAATGCATGAGTTGGCTGGAAGGGCACCCGCTGCAAAACATATGCTAGAAAAGTTGACGGTTCATTCCGCTGTGGCGACCCTTAATTAATAAAGGGACTGAACTGAAAAGAAAATGAATGAATAAAATATTCAACATTTATAATATTTCAATGAAATAAATATATAAATAAATAAGCAAACAAACATATGCAGTTTTTATTATTTTTATTATAACAATTTACATTCAAAAATAATCCATATATTCTAAAAGGGTACACATTTTGAACAGTACTATGTGGCCCTAAAATTATGAACATGCCTTTATGCTCTGTGACCTTAATGCAGCATTTGTCTAATTCAACTACACAGACATCATACAGTCATCAGTTTGATACAAAAAGAGACAATTACAATCAGACTTTGATGGGCTGTGACCAAATACGAAACATTATTTTACATGGGTATAAACACTGAAATTATTTGCAAATATACAGTGTGCTTCTTTTATTCTTTTTTTTTTTAAATATAATTACGATTTACATTCGGGTAAATACACAGCCAGCCAGCATAAGATGGACACAGTAACAAGAAACCTTCACACGAAACCATTTACCAGCTTTGACACGTGAATAAACCTGACAGAGTACTGTCCACTCATTCAAGTGTTCGTGTCCATACTTGATGTTTATTTTTGCAGCTTACTCCAAAGAAATATAAGGACAATCAAATTATTAAACCACATACAAGTAATACATTTCATAAATACTAAGTCCATGCAAAAATTTGAAATTGGATCCAAGTTATCAGTTGGATAGCCTCTGATCCTAAAATTATTCATATATGAACACAGTCCTTTACTAGCTCTGAACATCAGATCTCAATTTCAACAATTCAGATGGCACTTTTATTATGCATTGTATTACTTCTGATAAACAGGATGAAATGGAAAGTGACAGATTCAGAAAGAAGCAGAGAGGTTTATGTTTTGATCACATTGTATGCAAGTGTTTGAATTTAAAGGGATAGTTCACCCCAAGATGAAAATGTTCTCTATTTACTCACCCGCAAGTGCTTATAAACCTTTATTGTCCTGTTGAACACAAAATAAGATATTTTGATGAAAGTTGAAAACCTGTAGAGCAACACTGTGGCTCAGTGGTTAGCACTGTCACCACACAGCAAATACGTCGCTGGTCCCAGCTGGGTCAGTTGGCATTTCCCTCATAATCCAAAGACACTGTAGGTCAGGGGTGTCCAAACTCGGTCCTGAAGGGCCGGTGTCCTGCAGATTTTAGCTCTAACTTGCCTCAACACACCTGCAAGGATGTTTCTAGAAAGCCTATAAGAGCTTGATTAGTGAGCCCAGGTGTTTCTAATTGGGGTTGGAACTAAACTTTACAGGACACCGGCCCTCCAGGACAGAGTTTGTACATGCCTGCTATAGGTAATTTGGAATAACTAAATTGGCCATAGTGTATGAGTGTGTGTGTGTGTGTGTGTGTGTGTGTGTGTGTGTGAGTGTATGGGTGTTTCCCAGTTCTGGGTGGTGGCTGGAAGGGCATTTGCTGTGTAAAACATATGCTGGAATAGTTGGTGGTTCATTCCACCGTGGCTACCCCAGATAATTAAGGGACTAAGCCGAAGGAAAATGAATGAATGAATGAAAGCCTGTGATCATTGACTTCCATAGTAGGAATAATAAATCCTATGGAAGTCAGTGGTTGCAGACTTTCAGCTTTCTTCAAAACATCTTCCTTTGTGTTCAACAGAAGAAATAAACTTTATAACTACTTGAGGGGAAGTAAATGATGACAGAATTGTAACTTTTGGGTATTCTATCCCATTAAAGGGAGCAGCGAGGATCAAGACCGGACCCAGCTGACAGGCACCCACTGTGGCTCCCTTTCAAGTCTTTCGAGAATAAGTCTCAGCTCCACACAGGCACTAGCAGAGTCCTCCTTTATCAGGACCCTGTCCACTAGGTGGCCATATTGCTGTTCCATTTGCTCGGCTGAATGCTTCATGTCCAGCAGGTCTTCCTCCTTTTTAAAAATGAATAAGAAAAAGTCAATGTGGGAGTCGAATGATTGAGATTTAGTACAGTAGATTTAAACCTTTAAATGTGACCCTGGACCATAAAACCAGCCATAAACTGTAGTGCCATTAAAAAAAACAAGCTTTCCATTGATGGATGGTTTGTTAGGATAAGCCAGATGAGATATTTAGCCAAATTAAAACTATTTGAAAATATTTGAGAATCTGATGGTTCCAAAAAAAATCTAAATATTTAGAAAACTGCCTTTAATTAAGTACACATTTTTAAAACATGATTTAGTATTGATATACTGTGCTCAGCATAAATGAATACACCCATCACAGATATCCCTTCTTAAATTAATATTTTCTATATGTTACAATAAAATATTTGTGCATTAGATAAAGCAAAAATTAAAACACCCAAATTAATTTGTTGGGGAAAAATATTAAATTAATTTTAATAACAGAAGAAAAGAACATAAAAAATCTGTCAAATTTAGTTGAAATTGTGTAATTTGTATTTTATTTTTATTTTTCTGTAAGATCTCATTTGCATTTAAATTAATCATGTTCAGTTAGCCACCACTTATTTAAATGAATATATCTGTATAATACAACAGTTTTGTTTAAATGTATTAAATGTGGGGGATGCAGTGGCCCAGTGGGTAGCACGTTTGCCTCACAGCAAGAAGGTCACTGGTTTGAGCCACGGCTGGATCAGTTAGCGTTTCTGTGTGGAGTTTGCATGTTCTCCCCATGTTTACGTGGGTTTTGCTGTGGCAACCCCAGAGTAATAAAGGGACTTAGCCGAAAAGAAAATGAATGAATAATTGTACTAAATGTTTTGGGCTATAATCACTGAGAAAGGGATGCAAATATTTATTTAGGGTGTAACCATGAAAATTTAAAAATGAACTTTACAAAAAATCTTCATAGGGACATCTTTATAATAACCAACCTAATCTCACCAGGAAATGTAAGTATTTAACGTTTTGTCAGTTTAGTGGTATAGAGTTCCGTCATACGAAAATGTACAATTTTAAAAAGGAGGCGTGCCACCCAACCCCGCCCCTAAACCTAACCGTCCATTGGGGGATGAGCAAATCGAACTATATTGTATGAATAAGATCTTATGAATTCATATGAATTAGCCAATAAATCAAAAAGTTTCGAATTGCCTTGAGATTATATTGTAACACACAGACTTCTATAGGGGCATTCAGATATCATATAATCGGATTTGACTAGTATTCCTCTGGTATATACATTGTTTTCACATTACAAGACAGTATTGGACAGTATTCGCTAGATTCTGAAATGTACAGCTATTAGAAAGAAAATTTTGCAATTTTGTAACTGTTGTAATCGCCACTGTTTATTTACTTGCCTTAATTAAAATCTCAATATCTTCTTAGTAAAATAGTAACTTATTAGTAACATTTCAAATAAGCGCTCATTCTGAAAATGTAGTCCTGTGGACATTTCTGGAGACCGCGAATTACGAAGCCGGAGGTACGTGTGGCTGCATTAAATTTTTTTTAAGCAAATGCTATGGGGCAGTATGATGCTGTTCCTTTTGGGGCTTACTGGCTGACTGCTTACCACTGTGTGAAGGGCTTCCCGCCATAACCAGTTTGTCCAGCTAGCTCATCGTGTACGTCAGCGGACTTGAAACCTAGAGGACTTGAACACGACGACGACCGAATTCGAGTCCAGGGAAGAGCGATTCCACAAATCAGGTAAAACAAAAACAGAATCCAAAAAATAAAATAATAATAATAATAATAATAAACGTGGTAAAAATCAGACGAGGGCTTTTTCTTTTTTTGTAAACTGTCTGCTGGGTTTAGGGAAGTAAGTGGGCGGGTTAATCAGTAAAATTGGTTGGGTTTAGGGGAGAAGTGGGCTGTTTGATTGGCCAGTCGCCTAGTCAATTATTCAGTTATTCAGTCGGTCAGCAGTGGCCTCTGATGGGTTCAAACGAGAACAGCGTGAGTGCGAACGGCACTAGCAAAAGGGGCTTGAGATGCGAAAAAGCGCATACAGCGGTCTCTTGTGGATTCGAGAAAACAAAAACTGCAAAAATACGTACCTCCATGGATGTATTTCACGGTCTCTAGAAATGTCTACGGGACTATGTTTTCAGAATGAGCCTGGGTTGGAATAAATACTAACATCTAAAAATAAGTACTAGTACCTAATGGATATATAATAGTATATAACAATGAGTACTAGTTACAGCAGGATTACTTATTAGAACCAAATAGTTGACTGATAAAAAGTCAAAAGTCTTTTGCTATAACAACAGAAAAGTTGTGCACTACTGTAAAAAGTACTATTATCAAGGAAGTATTAGTATTACAATGAATAAGTATTATAATAACTACTGTAGTGAGAAAAGTAGTATTAAAATTATAAAGTAAAATTATAACCTTAAAATTAATATACTACAAACTAAACAGTAAAAAAAAAGTATATGCAATGCAATACATGTAGCCACAAATACATATTATAGCATGAAAATAGATACTACTACAACTGAGTCATTAAATATTAAAATGGCATGCTATAGTTATGTAAATCAGTCTCACTGTAATGTGTCCATTGTCGCCCCTTTCTGGTGATGTGGGAGAGCTGCGATGCCGCCGGATCTCAGGGATGCGTGGCTTTACGAAGATCACATACGGCTTAAACTCTGATGTACGGAGGATTTTCAGGGCCTGTGAATTACAAGAAAATGAATTATTTCCCAACAAATCTCTATTTACAACAGTAAGATTTAAATCCAGATTAGGTTAAGGAGAAATATGACCATTTGTAGAAGGGATCTACAATTACACTTTTTATTATCCATATATTATCCATAATATTCTTTATTAGCATCTTCATTTTTATATTGCTTTTTAAATAGCAGAACACACTGCTGTTGTCTAAAGTACAATACTGCTGTAATAGTAGTTGTCAATGCACAAAAGTCCCCATGAACTACACAATCCTGTCAATGTGTAATGTTTTCCAATGCTTCCTATGCTTGTCTGGCTTTCCCTTTGCTCGTGTTGGGCATGTGCCCCACTTGAATTATCTTCTTGTTTTCAGTTATCACACCCCCTTGTAGACTTAGTGAAGCCTGAATGTGTTCACCTGTCCCTTGTGTGCTCTGTTTTCTACATATTGTGTTTGTGTCCTCCCTTTCTTTTTGTGTCTTTTATGTTCACCGTGGATGCACTACTACTTAACTCAGACTGGCTTAAGGAAAATATGAGACTGCACAGCAGGCATTAATATTGTTGTCCTTAGATGCTGACTAGATATAAAATTTTGTCAATTGATGTCACAACCTTAATCTAACCCTATATTAATGTCTTATGGCATTGTGTGGCTGCTGAACAATAACTGCTGAAAATGTAACTTTTTACTGGTATAAATTACATTAGAAAATATGGTAAAACTTTACAATAAAGTTCCATTAGTTAAGATAGTTAGTAACATGAACAATTAATGAACAATACATTAATTACATTACACAATCCATACTTGTTAACATTCATTCTTAGTCTTAGTCTTAGGCTTAGTCCCTTTATTAATTCAGGGTCGCCACAGCGGAGTGAACCGCCAAATTATCCAGCAAGTTTTTACGCAGCAGATGCCCTTTCAACCACATCCCATCTCTGGAAAAGATCCACACACACGTTCACACACACACTCATACACTAAAGACAATTTAGCCTACCCAATTCACCTATACCGCATGTCTTTGGACTGTGGGGGAAACTGGAGCACCCGGAGGAAACCCACGCGAAGGTAGGGAGAACATGCAATCTCCACACAGAAACGCCAATTGAGCCGAGGTTTGAACCAGCGACCCAGCAACCTTCTTGCTGTGAAGCGACAGCACTACCTACTACGCCACTGCCCCGCCCCTTTGCTAACGTTAATGAAAATAAAGTTGTTCACTGTTAGTTCTTATTAACTCACAGTGCATTAACTAATGTTAACAAGCACAGCTATTGATTTTAATGATGCAAATTTTGAACTAATATTAATAAAGGTGTACAAGTACTGTTTATTCACAGATCAAAATAGTAAAATAATAATAAAACTTTATTGTAAAGCGTGATCAAATTCTATATCAAATAGAATATGTACTGTTATTCTGCATTTTTATATTACTATATACCATATTTTATATTACTATTTACTGTAGTTTTGATTTCATGAAACCTTAATTAAAATCTTATCTATTCCATTTTTTGCTTTTGAGATGTTACACTAACATGGGAATTCTTATATAATTCCTATTTTTATAGTCTCAAAATACTATGCTCATGTTAACCTGAAATGCTATGCTTTAAACATGGTATTGGCCCCTAGTGGTAAATGGAATCTAGAAAAATAGAAATTAAGGAAAGCATTGATTTAGGCAGGTCATCTATAGCTATCTATAGGAATACAACTCTAATCATAATTTCCTTAATAAGTTCCATTCAGATGATTAACCAGCAGCCTATAGATTGCTCATGTGCTAATCACCCATCTATATCTCTATCCCCAACTTCTCTCGTCCAGTCAGGACTTGGTAATACATCATTCATGCTTAGTCAGACCACTGAACTTAGGTTGTTGCAAAGATTTAATTATACAGTTGAAGTCTGAATTATTAGCTCCCCTGTTACTCCCCCCTCCCTTTTTTTCTGTTTAACGGAGAGCAGATTTTGTTTTATTATATTTTTAAACATAATAGTTTTAATAACTCATTTCTGATAACTGCATCCTTTTAACTTTGTCATGATGAAAGTAAATAATATTTAACTAGATATTTTTAAAGACACTTTTATACAGCTTGAAATTACATTTAAAGGCTTAACTAGGTTAATTAGGTTATTTAGGCAGGATAGGGTAATTAGGCAAATCATTGCATAACGATGGTTTGTATACTGTAGACTATCGAGAAAAAAATACTCAAAGGGACTAATAATTTTGACCTTAAAATGTTTTTAAAAAAATTTAAAACAATTATTAAAAAATAATACAAATAAGACTTTCTCCTGAAGAAAAAATATCAGACATACTGCGAAAATTTCCTTGCTCTGTTAAGCATCGTTTGGGAAATATTTAAAAAAGAAAATATCATTTTTTAGGTGAAGTGTCTCTTTAAGAGTGTTTCTTGATATTGCAGAGATAAGAAGGGGAAGTACTAAAGTATCTAGAATACACTCTGGATGTCTACTTGGACACAATGCCTTCCCAAAATGGTTAGTGCTCATCACAGGCAACAGGTTTTCTAAGTGCCTTAATAACGCTTAAAAGCGAGATAACATTAGGGTAAATCTAGAAGACTTAAACATAAACACATAAAAACTTACAATATAAATCATGGAGAAAGAACAAAAAAACAGACAAAAATAATAACACTGACAAAAACAGAAATCTGTTTACCTCAGGCTGAACATCTACCAGACACACTTTGTTTCTGGCCAGGACACTGCGAATTGACTCCAAACTTGTCCCATATTGGTTATTCTTATATTCACCATATTCAATAAATCTGAAAATATACAATACAGTATATGTTTATTTTTCATTCAAATTAAATGTTCTAACACTTGGCACACACACACACACACACACACACACACACACACACACACACACACACACACACACACACACACACACACACACACACACACACACACACACACACACACACACACACAATTATATAATAATTTTCTTATGTGTGTTTTCTTCAAAACTTTGTATGCTCTTTTTTTACTCAAAACTGATAAAATCCCTTCAGAAATATTGATAGTATTCCTGGATCGATAAACCCAGCAGCTGATAAATTCAACCTGTATGTATTTCCTCATGAAAGTAAACACTATTTTATTATAGTTAAAGTGTATACCATAGTGTTGAATACAATTTGTACAGCTACAGTTTGCAAATCGTAGTGCAATTATGCAATTATCTTATTATTATTATTTTTTTTTACTTAAAAGTAAACATATATGTAATGTAGTAATCAATCAATAAATAAATAAACGGCTCATCCAATCATACCTGCATCAGAATGTTTGCCTGTGACAAATCTGCATTTTAGCATGCATTGCCAATGGAACAGTGTATTTCTTGCCAGATGTGTTGAATAAATGAAAATTCAGTGGTTTTTACTATAGGTACTCCAACAGCAGAAAAATCTGGTTTCCACTTGAAAAGTCAGATAAAGATGCCAATACAGATGGCATGCTTGGCAGCTCCGGATGCAGATAATCAGATAAAGGTCATTCTCATGCAGGTCTCATTCTTTGTAGCAGCTCATTATGCATTTAACTCAGGAAGAAAACTGCTTACATCTAAACGAAATTGAATTCAAACAGATCAAATCCTAAATGTAGACTTTATATTATAAATCACCTATTTTCAGTAAGATTTGCTAAATATTAAGTGCCACTGTGTCTGATTCTTTGCATTGAAATTGAGACGTGCTAAACCTACAGTAGCTGTCAGTTTGATTTATGTGGTTGAACAGCAGACTCAATGATTTGCTTAATAAAAACATACTTTTGTTGACAGACATGTTGATAGTGTGTAATATTTACCATGTTTATTGTTGGCACTGCAAAAAATGTAGTCAAAGTATTTGTGTTTTTTGGTGAAAATGTCTTACATACAGTCAAAGTCAGAATTATTATCCCTCTGAATTAGACCCCTGTTTATTTATTTTTTTTCCAATTTCTGTTTAACAGAAAGAAGATTTTTTTCAACACATTTCTAAACATAATAGTTTTAATAACTCATCTTTAATAACTGATTTATTTTATATTTGCCATGATGACAGCAAATAAAAGTTTACTAGATATTTTTTTAAGACACTTCTATACAGCTTAAAGTGACATTTAACATTTAACTAGGTTAATTAGGTTAACTAGGCAGGTTAAGGTAATAATGAAAGTTGTATATTTTTATTTTAAACTATATAACGATGGATTGTTCTGTAGACTATCAAAAAAAAAAAAAACTTAAGCTAATAATTTTGTTTTTAAAATGGTGTTAAAAATGAATAACTGCTTTTATTCTAGTTGAAATAAAACAAACAAAACTTTCTCCAGAAGAAAAAATATTATCAGACATACTGTGAAAATTTTCTTTGCTCTGTTAAACTTAATTTGGGAAATATATATAAAAAAAGAAATAAATCAAAGGGGGGCTAATAATTCTGACCTCAACTGTATATGCATTATAATATAGAGGGAAAGTACATCAACAAAGACAATAAAATAGTTCATATAACATACTTATTAGACTGAATATCAGCATCAAATGCCTGCTTGGAGATGAAGTGGTATTCTACACCTTCCTTCTCATGGCTCTTTCTGGGTCTTGTTGTGTCTGTTAGAAAATGATCATACATAAATCAAATTTTTTAGTACATGACATAGCTATTGAGATAATACAGTAGGCTTTTAAGCTGATAATATATATATATATATATATATATATATATATATATATATATATATATATATATATATATATATATATATATAGGGGTGTCAAAATTAATTGTTTCTTCGGTGCACCGCGATGCAGGCGCGGACAATAAGGTATCGGTTCAGTAATAATCATAACCGGTTATTATGTACTGACGTCATTTATCTCCTGTGCGCTCTGTCGCGAGAGAGGTAAGCGCGAGTATTTACAACACTCAGCCAACTCAGGGCCGGCCCGTGGCATAGGCACCAAAGGCAAATGCTAAGGGTGCTGTATATCTAGGGGGGCGCCAGAAAGGAACGCGGTTCAGTTGGTTTTGTTTTCAAAATTCTTGACACACATTCAGTTATAGACGGCAATAACTCAAAAACATCTTACCCTAAAAAGATCTAAAGTGTGTTTCCTACAAAAAGACAAAGCTGGTTATGTTTCACAGCTGTCTTTTTATTTTTTTTTCGCTCGATATTACGACCACTGCTCCGTTTAAGCCCTCGCAATATTTGCTTAGCCGGGAGAGCTCGCGCTGAGAGGAGCTCTCAGCAAGGGACCGTCGGAAAAGTGCTTCTTTTTTTTTTTTTTTTTTTCGTTTTTCTGCTCCGCTTAGCGCGAGCTCTCCCTGTTGCGAGGGCTTAAGTGTGTGCGTGTGTGCGCACGTGCGTGCGTGTGTGTTCGTGCGTGTGTGTGTGTGTTTGTTTCTTTGGTGCTGTCTATGTTTGTGTATGTGTTTGAATGAGAGACAGTGTGGTACTGTGTGTTTATACAGACAGCTTGTTATAGCCTCCCCCTAAAATATAACACTGTATTGGAAAGCATCGTCAATGCACCGTGATGCACCGAGATATCGAATTGAACCGAATCGAAGGCATGATAATCGTAACCGAACCGAACCGTGAGACCAGTATAGGTTCACACCTCTATATATATATATATATATATATATATATATATATATATATATTATCTAAAATATATATATTATATATTATATAAAAAAGTATAATACAAAAGAAGACATTTAGAAAAATTTTGGAAACTGGTAACCCTTGACACCCACAGTATAAAATAAATGGTAACACTTTACAATAAGAATCATTAGTTAATAAATTTACTAACATGAATTAATCATGAAAAACACTTGTACAGCATTTATTCATCATAATTGACATTTACTATTGCATTATTAACATTCAAGTCCGTGCTTGTTAACATCAGTTAATGCATTGTGAGTTAACATGAACTAACGATGAACTACTGAATTTTCATTAACTAACGTTAACTAACATGAATAAATACTGTAGTAAATGTACTGTTCATTGTTTGTAGTAAATGCATTAATTAAAATTAACTAATAAACCTTATTGTAAAGTGTAACGAGATAAGTGAATACATTTTTCAAAATATCTTATTAATTGATACATGAAGACAGAATTGTAGTTTTTGGTGAACTATATCATTAAATTCAGCATCTGTTTTATTCTACTTTCCACTTGCCATTTTAAGTGATCCAGTCGTGAGTGCTCAGTCAAAATTCACTACTGTTTCTACGTGGCATTGACAAGGTGGACATAAACATTTGGTACAGCGCAACCAATAGTTTGCATTTTCCACATGTGATCAAAATGCCGAAATAATGCATATTTACACCATGTTTAAATGGAGTTTTTCTTTAGCTGTTAAACAAATAAGAAAGAAATAAACTCACGTGGCACAGCGACTCCATACCGTTGAGGATTCTCAGCAATCACCTTCTGCTTCAGTTCATTGATCCGAGCTCCAAGAGATCCTTAAGCAATAATAGGCAGAAATGAGATTCTGAATGCAAACAAAGCATTATTGACCATAAATGCAAACAAAGCATATAATCTTACCTATAAGTACCACAAGCCTTGGTTTATCTTGCAGTCTCATCTGATGTAGGGTCACCTCTTCATATATGAGGAATTCATTCTCTGTGGACTCTGGTGTATGAGACTCTTTATTTGAACCCTGGTGATCCTTGCGGCTCAGCCTAAAGCTTCTTCTTAGACCAGCTGCGAGCACAATTAGATTTTTCCAACAGATTAACAGAGGAAAAGAACATCAACAAACATAGACAAGATCAGAATTAGACAGGACAGAATCAGACAAAACGGCAAGGGTGGAAAGAGGTGCATCCTCCAGATTAAAAATATCATGTTTCTCACACTGCTCCTTTTTTTAATGTAACAGCTACATCTCTGGGGGAGAATCAACATGCTGTTTAGCTGCTTGGTAACATTTTATATGTAATAGCTAAGATAAAGCAGCACAGTATCTGTTTGCCTTACAGGTATAAATGAAACATGGTACCTGAGTAAAACTCCCAGGAAAAGGCCTGGCCACAGGACGGTGCGACCGCCTTACACTTTGGAGAAACTACAACTAATGTTAGACCATATCAGACATCCATTATAGTTCTATAGAGATTGTCACAAGCTTTATCAGCCATGCCAAAGCTTGCGTGAGCCATTAGCCACAAGCAAATAGTTCCCCAGCTATAGCAGTGCACCTGTGGTTCATTCCGAAAGGAACAGTTCATCCAAAAATTTAAGTTTTACATTGTATGATTAAAACTATTTTGTGGTAAATCCAAATTATTCAGTAAAAATATATTAAAATGATAAGGGGAAAATAGACGGAAAGAAAAAAAATGTTTTATAGGTAAGTGAAATATTTATTAGAAATAATAAGATAAAATGTCATAATTATGACAAGTTCACACTCACATAAAAGTCACAAGTATAATGTAAAAACTCAAAATTAGGACAAAATAATGACAAAAACCAACACTTTAATGATGACAAAAACAATGAAAATATAACTCAAAGACATAATTGTATTGAAAAGGACTTGGGTGTCATATACCTTTCCTCCATGAAACATAAAAGATAAATAAAAAAGAAAAATGCTGACAGACTAACCAACTAAATTCAAATCATGCAGGCTCAGCTAAACAGCACGAGGGTAAACAATGACAGATACTTAATCTTTGGGTCAACTGTCCCTTTATGAAAGTCATAGTTCACCCAATAATGAAAATTCTGTCATTTACTCACTGCTACACTTGTTCCACACCTGATTAAGTTTCTTCTTTTGGATGAACACAAAAACCTGTAAATATTGACTCTGGTAGTATTTGTATTTCCGACTATGGATGTCAATATGAAGAGTTCAGATGCAAAAAAAATTTCCTTTAAAATTTGTGTTTTTCTTAGCCTCATATGTTTATGTTCAGTTTTTTCACTTTAAAGGCAATGAAAATAACCTACTCTTTGCACAGAGTAAAATGACTGAAACTTCACACAACAGCCTGGGGAAATTTTTTAGAGAAATTTTAGATGAACATGTCAGACGCAATTTTAACAATCTAGGCGCAAAGTCTAAAGCACATGGTGCAAAAGCATTAAGGGCTTGTCTGAATCCACTTTTGCTTACTTTCGTGGATGAAGAAATGGTGTTGTACACACTCCACTAAACATCCATTAGCCTACATATTTAATTTTATTTGTTAAGCGCAAAGATTAAAAAAAAAAAAAAAACATTTCAATATTCAATTCTAATTTCCATCAAATAAATAAATTAACAATAATAACGAAGTGTGCTCAAAAAACTGAGACTGACACAAACACACATCCTATTCTTAACTCAACAGAAATCAACAGTGCGTGCTCAATGAAACGATAGAGGCTCCAGTCCTCCTCATATGGTGGCATTTGAGATCGGACTGGTTCTAAAAGTCCTCCTCGAAAAAACATCATTAAAAGCAAATCACTGTAGGTGCTGCTTGGGGCCAGGTCTACAAACTCCTTGATGCAACACTCTATGGAGCGATTACATTGTTTTAGAAGCATGATCTTGTTATCTGCTGAATATATAATGACTGCGTCGTTCTGTCATGGTTTGTTGTAGAAAGGTGTTGGATCCAAGTGCAGTTTTATTAAAGAGATCGTGCAGTAACGGAAAAACAAGACATCCAAAGTTCAAAAGTAACAAAGTAACAAATAAACAACAAAACAAGAAACTACGGCAGGTATCAGGAACAGGAACAGGGCTCTGGAAACAACAAACTCGCTTTACAAGACTTACTAGACAATGAAGACAAGAAAGACAAACGACGCAGTAATAAACAATTGGTGAATGGTTGTACAAATAGTCCAGGAAATCAACAGGAAACGGGAACAGCTGTGAATGGCCAATCAGTGTAAGTAATACCGGGTGTATTGCACGTAGGATGTATGGACTTAGTTCATACATCGTAGGACGTAGTTCTTTCACCACTGTAGTTAGCTGAGAGTGCCGGCAAACTACAGCGGCATCTGGTAGACACAGACAGTCATGACACCAACAGTACATTGGGAAGCAAGCAGTCCAGATAGGGAGGATACTGCGGCCACCTGCTGCCCAGAAGGGAAAACCTGGTGACAAGAAGGCAAATGGAGTAGCCCTGAGAAGGGGGAGTATACATATGAGAAGATGGTTAGCGGGGAGGGAAGACACGGGCTCGCCTAAGAGGGAGGACTGAACCGTGGCTGAATTTAGCATATGGGATCGCCAGTGGGGATTGCACATAGCAGGCACCTATACCCAGATTGCCGGCTGACCAGTGGGAATGCCAACAACATAATGGGCCAAGCACCTGACTCCTCCATTGAGTCAGATGCTGGGGGCTTCGAAGGAACTTTGAAGGGTTCGCCAAGTAGGGAACTGAAATGACAGAGCGAGAAAGCACATGTATCTCTGTTTTAGAGAGAGAGGCACAGCAACACCGAACCAAATATCCTCATTCACCAGGGTTTCCCAGCACACATGAGGAAACCGGCTCCACTCGCAGATAATAAAATCTCGCAAATGTATTAGGTGTTGCCCAGACCTCAGCTTTGCAGATGTCTGTTAGAGAGGCGCCACGTGCTAGCAACCAGTGGAGTGAAGTGACGAGTGGAGTGAGCTCTCACCACTGGTGGATAACCTGAGGGAAATGGAACTACTATCTAGTGGGCCAACCACTGTTTAGATACGGTACTTACCTTCTGCCGATCACCATAACAGACATAAAGCTGCTCAGAAGACCTAAAGTTCTGAGTAAAGCACAAACAGGACCCAGCAACGAAAGGGCTGGGTCTGCCTTCTTCACAGTTATTGGTTGCAGGCCTAACTGGTCCTTAAATATTAAGGTAGGAACCTTAGGCACATATCCCGGACGAAGTCTAAGGAAAACATGAGAGTAGGCCAGCCTGCAGCATCTATGGACCACACATGGAGGTTCCAGAGATCTAGACAAGGGTCCTAGATGGTGCCCTGTCCCTGAGAGAGTAGGTCTTCTGTCAAAGGGATCTGCCAGGAAGGGGCAGTCGCGAGTAGGGAGAGTTCTGATATCCAGGTCCGGTTGGGCCAGAGAGGCACAACTAGCGAGACCTCCTCATCTTCCCTGGACTTGCACAGCTGCTGCACATGCAGGCTCACTGGGGGAAACGCATATGGCGAGGCCAGCTGTGGACCAGTGCATCCATGCCGAAGGAGCCCTCAGTCAGAAAAAAAGAACCACTGGCAATAGACGTTTTCGGGGGAAGCAAACAGGTCAACCTGGTCTTTCCTGAAGCGCACCCATATCAGCTGGACAGACTCAGGGTGGAGTCTCCATTCTCCTGGACATTGAAGCTGCCGTTAGAGCGCATCGCTGGATGGTTGAGCTTGCCCGGGATGTGAATGGCACGCATGAAAAGATTTCAGGGGGACCACCGTTTTCCTGTCGAACTCTCTCAGACTGTTCAGCATCAGCTCGGTGCACTCTCCAGAGAGGCATGCTGACATCGTGACTGAGTCCAGCTCCAACCTGAGAAATGAATTGCTCTGCACAGGGGCAAGCTTGCTCTTCTCTTGGTTGACCTGAAGTCCCAATTGGTCGAGGTGCTCTCACCTCGCACACAGGCTCCAGAGGGGGGCTAGGAGTGTGAGAGAAGGGAGACCGCCCTCCCACTCTCTGGAAGCCACTGACTAAGTGCACAGATCCTGCGAGCTGGAAGGCATAGCATCCCAAACTGGCAGTGTTCGGGCTGTCACATCCGGGGAAGTGGAAAAATGCTCTTTCTTTGAGATTTTGGTGGCGTTGTAAAAAAATGTCAGATATTGTAGATCCCGGCCCTCCAACGGGGAAAGAGCAAGTTCCCTCCTCTCTGGATGGCCTATCTCAGGGACGCTTTGTGGTCTATTTATCAGACTTAGGGGTGCCCTAGGGCAAGGTGCTGGTTACCTGCAGGATACTAGGTCAGACGCACAGGCGGGGGCACTGGAGCAGATCTTGAAGATGCAGGTGGGCGCCCTCAGCAAGGATCAGTGGATGTTGATGGCTCGTGGGGAGAGTGGTCTTGCGATCCCACCGATAGATAACTTTACCCATCGTATCCAACTGCTCTTTTACCGTCATGAATTCCTGGGTGAATTCACCGTTGGTCAACATCAAACTTAGTCAACATCACGCATATCAGCCAGGTTTAACCAGACGTGGCGTTCCTAGACCACTAATGTGGCCATCGTGCTTCCCAGGACAAACATAGCTGACCAGTGGTACGCAGAGTATAGTCTGTTGTTGTGCAAAGCTTATGATTTAGGCCTGGGTTGAAACCACCCTCATGCAGCTGGGCCAGCGCCTGTGCTTGGTAGCGCTGGTAATTGGCCATCGCATGCAGGGCAGAAGCAGCCTGATCCGCGGCTGTGTAGATAACCTACATGCCTTGGAGAGGAGACTTGGCTGACCCCTCCAGGAAGAGGCACCATGCGGGCAAAAGTTGAACGCAATTACACGCTCGATCTGGGGAAACGACTCTTACCTTCTGGCTCCTCCACCGTCAAGGGTTGTGAGGGAGGACACGCACGCAGATGCAGTGCTCATGCCCATCATTCGGGGACAGGGAACTACCGCATCCAGAATTGAACACTTATCGCACTCTCTGGACCGGAAGAAGCAGCCTGCTTTCTCTTTCTCTATCTTTGTAGAGAGCACATAAGACTCATAAGA